TGACCAAGTTAGGAGAAAATAATGTTGGAATATATTTATTTGCATAAAACAGCATAAAACGTGATTGTTTCTCAGGATGTGTGAAAATGGTAACACATTTAGAGAATAGCAGTATTTTTGTATTAGATTTTCACTAACCTTGCACAATAGATATTGAGTAACCCACATTTATGGCCTTGAACCCAGGCTACACTTAATACACTATAATGTTATCTGGACAGGCAAAATTAATATTTTTAATTTTTGATTTGACGAACTAGTCATTCGCTGGACGACAAGGGGTCTAGGCCTGTCTGAACAGCCACTGGACTACATAACGTGATGCAAGGGATGTAATGATTCTCAGCAAGTGCAAAATGGCAACAGATTTTCACTAACCTTGCCCTTGCGTTTGAATTTGCGGCAGATTTATCTGATTTGGTGCAACTTCTGCCTCGTCACTGTAACCATGCTTTTCACATACACGTTGTGCAAGTCCAAAAAACTTCTGTTGTCTCAAAGCATTCACCATGATTGGTACTTGTTGGCACTTTGATTGGTCATCCCTCCAAGTAACCAGCAATTCCATGATGCGGTCTTCAACCAGTCTGTTGTTTTTTGCTACCTTTTTTACATCGGTCCATTCAAGTCCAAGACGCACTCCCAGTCTCCTCCATGATTCGGGATCCAGTTTGTCACAGATAAACAGCAAATCTTGATCATTAAAACATTTTCCTAATTAGAAAACATAGATGATATGCAATGAATAAAAAACAATTGTAACTGACATCTGTTGTTACTATGTGTTAGTTTACGTGTTAACAAAATAGAAACAAGCTGTAGAAAAAAAGGGTTTCCAATACGATTTTTGAACTCCTTGAGGTACTTACCTGCTTCCTGAGTGTCAAGATTTTCATTGCCAATTTCACTCTCAAATAATTCTTTAGCTAGTTTCCTGAGCTTATGTTGTTTCAGAGCAGTGCACAGCATTTTGCGTTGATGAATATCATTACTGAGGTTGCTCTTCCAGTAATTCATCATATTTTCAATCTTATACCT